CACATAATCTCTCATCTCCTCCTCCAACTCAAACGATCTCCTCTATGTAACCCTCGTACCAACCAATCACTCGTAGCTTCCCATTTGGACTCAACTGAGTGCCATATCATTCGACGGTACACTCAATGTATGCCCAATCCATCCATCTCCATTTTTCTTCTACATATTTGTCAAGCAATCAGCTATTTCTCAGTTTATCCCCACAATTTCTTGTTTCTAATTCCTTCTGGCCGGTTGGCCATTTTATTTTCAACAATGAGCTAGATAAGAAAGCTGTTGATACAAGTCTGCTTTAGTCTGTTGGAAATGCTTTTCGTGACACTCAGTGCAAGTTTTTGACTCATTTAGAAGAAATAACAGACTTCACATTTCTGTTGAAAGTCCAATTCTTGTTCTTTATGCATAACGCAGCACTGTATGTTGAACTGTGTTTATTTATTCGTATGTTGGAAGATTTCATCATGACCTGACATCAGTAAGAGAACCATTAGAAAACCAGTTGGGAGTACTGGACAGCCAGCTGTTTCGTCCAAGTTTGCGACTCTGAAGCAGTACGCGCCCGCCACCACGATTCAAACCCAGGACCTTCTGGTTACAAGGCTAACGAGTTCGTAGACCATTAAGCCAATGGACCTGACTCAGTGGCCAGCACATGAATTCTAATTCCTTCCAGTTCATGACATAGCGTGACCATTTCGCAATGTCTCCTTCGATGAGTTACTGCCTTACCTTCAACGTGCTGTAACCTGCTGGTCATGGCTTCCCACTAAAATCCCAGGTAACTTCCTGAATCAAGCCAGTCGCAAGTGGGCATCAGACTAGTTTTTAAGTATTGGTTTTATGGAAATTCCGTTCGATTGGTTGGAGGAAGTCCTGAGTTCGAAGCCGGATTTGTGCGTATTGCTTAAGAGTTGCAAACTAGCACGAAACAGCTGGCCGTCCAGTACTCCCTGGCGGGTTTTCTAATGGTTCTCTAACTGATGTCAGCTTATGATGAAATCCTCCAGTCCTGTAATTTGAAAATAGCTTCAGTAGTGTGGAGTGCACTGTTGCAAACCACCATGAACTTATTCAGAAAGCTACATCATAATCATATATACTGATAGATTCACGAAGTTAAGTCTGGTGGAGACTTTCAAAAGTACATAGGATTAAAACGAAATTGCCAACAACCGCCAGTGACATTCATGACTGTAACTGACTGGATCATAGAACAGCCCATGGAAAGTGAGAAGATGAGCATACACCGAACTGATTACAAAGACTCTAGAGTATTTCGATTTCTCTGATGACTTGTGTTTAATGTCACGAAAACTCGAAGATATACGGTCAAGGATCAACAAGTTGGCAGAATTGATAGCCGGGGACATAACTTCAGGTTGATATGGAGAACAGAAAGGTAACTAAGGTACCTGAAAGACAATAATACGCAACAGTTAACGTTAACAGAAGGAATCTAAACACAGTCACTTTTTTTTTACTTCCGCTTCGGTTGGCAGTATCATTCCGACTCTTGAGGATTTCAAGGTCAGCCAGGATTGAAAAAGAAAGATGCATCTTCGGTAATCTGAGATCATTGTTTAGATCAACTTAACTCAGCACAACTAGCAAGATCCAAATTGTTGACGCTAATGCCATTCAGTTAGTGCTTTAAAGGTATTTCCAACAGCCTTCTCTAGATATTCATTAACACCTGCCTTCTGTGGCTTCACATTAAAGATTAGCAACAAGGATATGTGGCAAAGAACTAACCAAGAATCTGTCACCTTTTAAATATGTAGGAGGAAATGGAGAAGAATTCCACATATTCTGAAGAGACTGTTGCGTGACATCATACGCCAGGCTCTCTACTACCATGCAGATTGGAAACTAAGAGTTGAGTACGGGCGACACGGAGAAGTTCTTATGACGCATAAATGAAAACTCATGATAAGTCTTAAAAGCGAATGTTGAGAAGAGAGTGAAAATAGCATGTGCTGCTGAAGCTCTTTGTCTTACTAAGAATATGGAGGTATTGACTTTAGCGCTTTTTCTGTATGAACCCAGTTTAAATCGGTAAGATAACTGTGGATTCTTAGATGCTATAAACATTCATTAGAATAAATGGCCACTAAACAGTAAGAGTTTAGTAATTGAATTGTACATTTAGATGATATGCGTATCATGCATCGGCGATCATTGTATGTGACTAATTCTTACTAACATAGATAGGAAGACTTAGTAATATGACCAGCCATGTATCACACTGACACAATTGAAAGATCTCCAGCCCTAAAAAAACTCTTACATCAATCAATAATGTTCAAATCTTGTAGTCTAAGCATCCTATGACACAGAAGTGACAGCTTCCAGGCATTAATTACGCATGTTTATGAATTTTACTGGTCCCAGTCACAATTGAGATTCTCTATTGACAAACTATTCAGCACTAGGTGATATTTCATATTAGTCTACTTTGGAAATTAAAAATATTCGGGTCCTAACATGTGATAATACAAACAGTAATCAATTCGGTAACATATGGCAGTTAGTCAATGGGGTATACTAACTAGGTCAAGTTCATCAGCTATTTAGAATAAAGATCGCTCTGACCCGACTAGCAACCATCAATGATTTAAGTGAACTATTTTCAGTGACCCACTGACCAATAATACATACCATCATGTAATTTTGCTACCTTTCTGATTTCTATTTATGGAGTCAAGCAGGTCTGAGTTTTTTCGGTTTTCAGAGGAAAGCATGCTGCGTTTCGACCTGGCAGTTTTACGGGGAATAGCCTAATTCAAAGTAGAGTAACGAGAATTTAGTAGGCCTGAGAGTGCATAAAGAGTCAGTCAAGCAGAACCGTTTGTCAGCAATGGTCAGCCGCATCAAAAACAAGCCTCAGGCACTGATTCTTAGCATGACGAAAATCCCACTCAACGAGTGAATAAAATCGATATTCAAAGGCAACACGGATTCGTGCCATGTTTTGTTGTCACCACTAATAACCCTTTTCAAGGTTGTCGCTGGTTTTTTAGTGGAATCTTCGTCAGCCACTAATGTTCTATAATTTGGTTTGTAAGAGTTAGTTATGTTTTACGAGTTGATCACGGACTGATATCAATTGGAGAACTATTGAAAACCAGGGAGTACTGGACAGCTGCTGTTTCATCCTAGTTTGGGAATCATCGGCAGTATGTGGTGCGTACTAGTGAGAAGTCGTGACCAGTGAGGTCCAATTAGATGTCACGTGTGTGGGTGCGTACTGCCGATGATTCCCAAACTAGGATGAAACAGCAGCTGTTCAGTACTCCCTGGTTTTCAATAGTTCTGTAATTGATATCAGCCACTAATGTATTGTTAATTTTCACTCTTTGTTGATGCATTCCCAATCGATAATGAGCACGGGAAACAGGGAAGGCTTGACATGAAGAGGGCAACACTAAACTGTGAAAAGGACACTACTATCATAGTAACTTCACACTTTGATTCCTCATGTTCCTTTTAATACCTATGGAAGAAAAAAAATCTTTTTTCCAAACTCATTCTTCGTCATCTACCACTGCTTGTTGAGAAGTGCGATGACTTGTCAAAAGTAACACCTGTCCTAGCCAACTCAGTCGACGCAACTTCACAACCTCACCGACTGACAACTATCCTTACCCACCAGCTTAGGCACATTCTATATAAGTTTGTTTATAGATGTATCACACAGACAGTGAAACAGTATTATTTACTGGATGACAATGTTTCGAACAAAATTTATTGTTCATAATCATATCAATTATAATCACACGACTTCGAAACTTGACTTCCATAGTTTTCTTTGTTCTCTTCTATTCGTCGTCGAAGGGGTACTGAATTTTTCCAGATATCCGGGTGGACAGGTGTTGAATCATTCCTATTTCAAGTATTTGCAGTTGAATCGATAAACCGAACTTCCATTATCAATCTCTCCCTCCACCCTGGTGTTACAATAGGTTTTAAACCTGTCATCTTATCCCATCTAAATGCATGGTTGTATGTAATTGCATGTTGTGCTATGACTGAACTATTCTCTAGATTTCTTATTTTATTCGGGTCAGCCACTATAGATTTTGCTGCTATCTCTCTGCGCTCCGCTAGTCTGATTAGCTGACCTCATTGTAATACTTTGGCCCGCGTATTTGACCTGACAATCATTCCAGCAGGGAATCAGATAAACTAAATTGTTTTGTTTCATTGGCTGCACAGAATTGATCCTTTAACCGAAGAAGCTTGTTTCTAATTGAGTTCGTAAGTTTGAATTCAAGCCACTTTTATTCCTGCACTTTTAGGAATTCTGCGTTATTTTTCCGAGTTTCCTTCTTTGTGTGGAAGTACTACTGATGATTTAGACTCCTAACTGTTGATGTTGTCAATATCGTGGGCATGTTTGACATGCATATAGTCATTAATATTACTATTATTATTATTATTGCTATTATTATCAAGATCACTACTTTCATTATTTATTTTATTTTTACATATCCCTTCATACTTTCTGATGAATTTATAATTAATGACGATACTCATGTTTCACAGCTCTAAATGAGGACACAGTGAACTGCCTGGGACTGCACGCTTTCTATGATCATTACATGGATATTTAGCCAGCTCAAGGTATGATGCAAGCTGGCGAAAATGAGATAAAAGTCCTTTCCTTTAATGATCAGTTCATTAGAATTCATATAACGTCTTAAAACGAAGTTAAGTGGTCAGTACTCACAATCACTTCTGTAAATATTGGAGTCGATGCAAAACAAACCCGAAGTATCGTCTTATAGTTTACCCCAGTTTGCTGCAACAACATTACTGTCACTGTATGCAGACAAAAAAGTACTCATTACTTATAAATTAACTCTGTGTTCTTTCAATAAAAAGAATAAACACATAAATATACATGTATAGTTGTCTTTAGCCTCCTTTACATAAATAATAACAATAGAAGGTTAAGACATATTTGAAGATAAGAAATGAAATAATATCACTGAAATCTACATCAAAATAAATTCCCCTTAGTTTATGCTGAAGATACATTTCCGTTTACAACTTTTGAAATTGTCTCTCTATCTCTCTCGTTGTCTCCACAAACTCACTCTCACTTTCTCTTTTCTTATAAAATATGATGTAATATAGATGTGTAAAAGTAACAATTTAATAGAATGAATACTATAAATGTGTCTTTGTTCACTTGTAAACGTGTACAATAATTCATTGAACGTATTAAACGTTCAACAAAAGATAGTTTTGCATCATTTTTTACCTTAAAATGATTTGTTTCACTCAGTATATTTGGTCGAATGAATTTACGATTGAACGTTGAGGATGATGATGATGATGAGTGTAGAGGTGATGAAAAAGACATGGACGACGACGAGGAGGAGGCGGAAGAGGAGGAGGACAGTGTTGGCACTAAAAGAATTAATGAAGACAAGTCAATTAATTCAATTATTAGTTAGTAATTTAATATAAAAAACATAAATCCCTTACTAATAACTTACTAATTGATGAAATTGCTTGGAGCTGTAGCTGGAAGTCCTGGGTAGTGGAGTCAACCGGCTTGGTTGTGAGAACAAATCTTCGCCTGTGATGTAGACTGGCAGTCAAGCTATCTTTGATTGAACACTAGTTAGTAACTAGTGTAATGTGTCTAGTCCTTTCTTTCGTGCAGACTGAATTCTATCAGTCAGTCAAGTTTGCAATGTGGCCACCATGCCACTAGGTGGCTTGCTATCACAGTGCACATTGATTTGATGAAATTAAGTAGTCGCAGGCAGGTTTCGTGCTAGCTAGCACTCACCAGTCAGTCAGCAACGCGTATCTTCAACCTTGAAGGAACAACTTACTTCCCTTCTGAGATTCTAAAACGCGTCACCGAATTAGTACTGCACACAGAGACGTTGCCACTGAGCTATTTGGACTCGCGACTGACCTCCTGTAGGACTGTGGTGGATGCTTTGATTGGACACTAGTAACTAGTGTGATGTGTCTAGTACTTTCTTTGATGCAGTTCCTTCATGGTTGCAGATACGCCTTGCTGACGAGTGCCAACTAGCACGAAAACTAGGTGGAGTAGGGCTTCCTGTGGCCGATTGCCTCCAACCATCTAATATCATCAATTCAAGCTCTCTGTCACGGTCCTAGTGTCTAAATAGTCAACGAACCAGGTCTCGTTACCTGGAGACCCTTAGTCTGACCCTTGTTAAGTTCACAGATGCGTTCTGCTGAAAAGTCAGTCTCAAAGTAGGACGAATCAAGTAAATTCGTGATCAAACTTAGAATTGACTCAGTAGAATAATTCTTAGAACCAGTAAATCTATTGACAAATGGAAATGCTGCAGCCTCCATGCTTTATAAAATCGTCTGGAATAAATGGATTATTATCATCTTTTCCGTCTTTGAAACTAATATTCACAGCAGAACGAAGATTTATTTGACCTTCGAAACTTATCAAGTTAAACTATCCAACTATGAATTCAATGGTAGAGATCACTTTAGTAACTGCTTAGAATAATCACAGAAAATAAGAGACAAATTCAGCTAAGAAAATTTTCTTTATCGACGAAATCATCTTCAGATGCCGTACAGTCGTATATATACTTACCTGGATGGAAGGTTTTGTCATGAGCTGACATTAGTTAGAGAACCACTGGAAAACCTGGAAGTCTTCATCAGTACACACCCACCGGGGTTCAAACCCAGGACTCTCTGGTGAGAAGCCGTGACCAGTAGGGTACAGCAGGTTGAAGATGAGGCAGTAGCCCACCGAAGAAGACACTGTGAAATGGTCGCCCTATGTCGTGAATGGCAGAAGTTAGAATTCAGGGACTGGCGATTGGATCGGATCCCTGGGTTGTAACCCCGGTGGGTGCGTTTTGATGAAGAGTCCCAAACTAGGCGGACGAAACAGCTGTCCAGTACTTCCAGGATTTCCAGTGGATCTCTAACTGATGTCAGCTCATGATGAAGTCCTCCATCCAATCAAACTAAATCCCTACAAAACCAATACTTGTATTTATATTTAACAAAAATGTGTAGTAGTCTCTTACTGAGTAATACCGGGAGACATAATCGATATTAATACTCGGAAGTGGCTTTAGAAGTAAAATATAAAAGTTGTAAATTGCGTGGTACTCAACGTTACAAAGTTAGAAATTCGATAATATTAAAATTGTTATTGAGTGAGAATAAATGCAGTTGAGTGTCAATTTAACAAGTATGAATAGTGAATTAATTAATAAAATAAAAGCAAACTAGTAGTAAAATTGAAAATGGACAAAAAGAAAAAGAATTAAAATTTTTTACAGGGGATGACTAGAGGAGGTGAGGACCATGGTAGAATAAGAGACTGGACAAACTTTTCCTGTATACAACCCCGAACTATTATACATTTCTGTTGAATATAAATACGACTGTATACAGCCTCTGAAGATGATTTCGTCCATAAAGCAAAATTTCCTTCCCTGAATTTGTCTTTTATTTTCTTCATGACTCACTGAATAATCACAGAGTTTATTTATTACTCTTTTTATTTTGTTCCTTTGCGTTCCGAGTGGAAAATTATACTTTGGAAATGAACTTGCCCACTGTGGTTTGAGTAAAATTCCATTGTGGATAAAATTTATTTTGATAAAGTCACACAGCAGTATTTACTGATGACCACGTTTCGAGCACAATTTATTCCTGCTCATTTTAATCATATCAAGTTACTCACACAACTTTCCAACTTCGTTTACATTTGCTTGGTAGTAATATTTTGCATATCTCTCTGGTATGAGTGATGAGTCATTCGTATTACACGTGTTGGTTATAGAGTCTATGAACCAGGATTCAGTAACTAATCTCTCTCTCCATTTTCCCCTAGTACATTTTAGAAGTTTAGCCCTTCCCCATCCTATTGCGTGGTTGTGTGTTAATGCATGCAGTGCAGTTGCTGACCTGTTTTCTAGATTACTTATCTTCGCAGGGTCAGCCATTATAATCTTAGCTGAATTCTTGCATTCTGAAAATCTGACTACTCTTAATCTACTAGTTTGAAGTATGTGGCCGACCTAGCTCACAGTCATTGCAAGGTACTTTGTGGATTTAGGAGTGGGTTGGCGAGTCCCTCGACCCCTGACCACGTGTAAGATTGGTAAGAATTCTACTGCTACACCACTCACATAATCACACAGCGAAATGGAATTATAGTACTGCAAACAATATTACATTATAACTTAATTGTTAATATCCGTAGACATTAGTCGCCATAAACACTCTGATATGAATCGTATATCATTAAGCCCTCAGTGCTAGGGCTAACACATACATTTCCAAGAATTGATCTGCAGAAATTCTGTTTGTTTTTGGTTAGACCACGGATTGATATCACTCAGAGAATGAATGAAAACAAAGGAGTACTGGACAGCTGTTTCGTTTTAGTTTGGGAGTCATCGGCAGCAATCACCCATTTGGGTTTCAACCCAGGACCTTCCGGTTACGAAAAGGTCTCATATACCATTCAACCACCGGGACCCGTTTCAATGGCCAGCCCATGAATTCTAACTTCTACCAATTTGCGATTCTTAGCGCGACAACCTACCAATATCCTGTGTAAAAGGACAAGCACTTCCTCCAACCTCCTGTTTAAAGTGAAACGTAGTATCTCATAAGTGGCATATTTATACTGATTCAAGAAAATCATAGCAACTATTCGCTTCAAAGTTACCATATCTCAAACAAAATAAGAATATGATTATAACATGCTAAATTTCATGCAGTGCATATGAAACTTCATTGAATTCTCATTCATTACACATCTCAAAATCATTCCATTTCCTTTAAAAATTATGACAGATAAATCCAAAATATGATTATTATCTTAAACGAATTGACTCTCTCAATTATTTCTTGTATCATCTAAGTGGCTCAGAAATTTCGAGTCAGTTTGATTACCTAGATTGACTTAATTCTGAAGAAATACTTATGCCTTGAGCCCTAATTCGGAAACTCCCCTGTTCATACTTTAAATCGCTTCGTCCCACAACAAAGTCACTATACCAAAGTTTGATAGTTTTAAATACTCATAATTTAGTTGAATGCAGAACGAAAACGCTAAATGATGGCTACTAATTTTGCCGGTGTGATAAGGGCTGAGTGAATTTGGAAGACCGTACTCAATCACGAAGTCAACTGACGTAGGAAGTAGTGTGCATATCTGTGAGTGGAAGACATGTATCAAATTTGGGCTGAAATGGTTGGAACTCAGCTATTCGATAACACTTTCTATATGAGGGCCTGTGATAATACTGAACTGTCGAGATTGGAGTAGGTGGAAAACGATTCGAACCTGAGATGCACTTGCCAGTTTATAAAAAAACGCTTACTTCAGGGAACCATATCTGTTTTAATTTGATTTCGACGCAGTGCGGCAATTCAGAATATTACGAATTTAGCTTACACTTTAGGTTTGTAATACTCACCAGTCTATTAATATATGTGTAAAATTTGGGCACTGTGGTCGGTCGGTCGGTTTTCGACATAGAACTTTGCACATATGTGCGGCAGTTCAAGTCACCACACTCCATGTAGCACACAAAGCAAGAGAAGAAAGTAGGAGAACTGCATAATATAGACAGTAAACAGAGGTGTGAGACAAAGGAATAGTAATAACGGAGAACAATATACTTTCATTTGAAATCATAAGTCACAAGGAATGGATACATCTGCGCCACTGAGAACGATTTTGAGCCATGTCACCAATTGTTTCCGACCATTGGTTTTTACCATCCCGAGGACCCTAACCAGGAAGTCTACACCTTCCTACGTGGCTGGCTTAAACTAACTGTTGTAGATTTCATTGACTGGTGCCATGTTTTGGTTTGACCGCCGCTAGCTCTTTTCCAGCCTGACCCTATGTCAGCTGACATTGCCTGTTGTCGAGGAAGGCGATGACTAGGCATACGCAATACATGTCCTAACCATCTCAGTCGATGTGATTTCATAGTTTCGTCGATTGATTTCCCCGCCTTACCTAGCACTGTGGGTACTGTGGTAGTAAGTAATTCCATATTAGTTTGTTTATTTGATATATCACACAGTGAAACAGTATTATTTACTGGATGAAGTTTCGAACAAAATGTATTTTTCATAATCATATCAATTGTAATCACACGACTTTGACACTTGAGTTTTATAGTCTAATTGTATTAAGGATTTATTTGTAAATGTTTTATTACTGAATTCGGTTGGATAGGTATTTAAATTTAACAAATAGAAAAAAGTCACATGTTCTTTTGATTGATGATGATTAGCAATAAAGTCCCATACAAGATGAGACAGATGGGTGTTCTTGCATTCTTAGTAAATATTGGTGTTCCTTTTGTACCCATTGTTTCACATTCCAAACCATAATACATCGCATTACCCATGGTCAAGTGAATAATGCTTCACAGTTTAAAACAATGCATGCGGAGTTCAAGTCATAGTGGGGACACAATAAACTCCCTGAGATACAGAGTTCTGCATAGGATAAAGTGTGCATTCTGGATTCGATTGGCAGTGACAATCAACGGAAAATAACATAATCTTAGTCATAATAGAGACGAGACAATCCCACCCCATATATTTAATTGGCGTGAAATGCAAATTAACCAAAAATCAAAACTTTCTTGTTAAACAGGTTTAAAATTTTATCTCTTCACTTATTTATGGGCTTGTGCGCAAACATGCAATGGGCTTATTGGTGAACAACACCTCTTCAATTGCTTACTGATTTCTGGAGGTTACTTTAATGTCAGTCACCAGAAAAAGTAAAAGTTAGATCAGTCTTGAACCCAAACAAAACATCAGTGACATAGATTTCAATCTCCATGGAGGGGAGGCATCATTTTCCTCCACCTTTGCTGATGAGTGCTAATCATCAGTCAACATGAAAACAATTTACTTTTCGGCAAACAGTACTACTTCGAATATTTATTGCAGGTTACTTTATCATTCCTTATCAGGAAAAGCAAAAAGGTGCTATTATGTAATGTGTGATAATTAAAGGTAAAGTGCACTCGTTCAAGCTGACAAGCAAAAGAGATAGCAAGAAATAAGTCACCATTTTACTCAGACTTCTTTTACCAGGCATAATAATCATGCTGTTGAACATTCAGTCTTCAACTTACCATCAGTTGATGTACTGAGTGTTGTTGAGTGTACAGAGTCTGTGGTATCAGGGAGATCTATAAGATGTGACAAACGTTTTCCATTTAGAAGGTATTGTAGATTTTTTCCAAAAATGTGGTAACATGATAGGAAAATTTTTATACGATCCTTGCATTCTGAGTGAAACAGATGGCTTTAGTCTTTAAAGTTTCAGCAAAAGCAATCTTGATTCTTTGAGGTGGAACTGTTAGACCCACACGCGAGCATCCCCCGTTGTCGTTACTAATATGAGCTAATAAACAGGAGAAGGTTTAGGAGTGTTTCGATCGGACATTAGTCAGTAACTGGTGTACTATATGTGTGTGTCTAGTCCTATCTACCGTGCAGACCGAATTCCATCAGTCAGTCAAGTTTGCATTGTGGCCACCATGCCACTAGGTGGCTCGCCATCATGGTGTACTGTGAATTGAATTGTTGGTATTAGATGTTGCAGGTAGTCGGCTACAGCACCTAGGTTTTGTGCTAGTTGGCACTCACCAGGCAGTCAGCAAGGCGTATCTACAATCACCTTAAAGGAACTCATTTCCTTTGCTGACGAGTACCAACCAGCTTGAAACCTAGGTGAGGTAGGGCTTCCTGTGGCCGATCGCCTCCAACCATCTAATACTGATAATTAGGATATGTTAATACATCATATAATTTAATTCTATGTGAACATTATTGTGATCCTGCCTGATGGACATTCTTGTTACCAGGAATATCAAATTGACAGATGACGTTTTAACTTCTATGTAACTTCATCATTTGTAACGTTATTCAAAACACCGCTTTGAGGTATAATGCTAGTTTTGTCCATGTACAGCTGAGGATGATTGAGTTTGCTAGAATCATAGTACAAAGACAGGAGTCATTGGATTTCAACCCGTGAAGATCCTGGGTTTGACATTTAGTAGGACAACTGATGCACTGTCCAGTGATGCAACTGATATTGGTTCCTGACAACTCTCTTGACGTACTTCTGACCACTTTTTTCACTGCATGCACTACATTAAAGAATCGGTACTTATAAAAGTTTGCCAACCAGAATATGACAATTGTTATCATATGTATATATACATACGCTGGTCAGTTAAGGCATATTTGTATCCATAAATTAGTGTTTTGAAAGCGCGACAAACATTTCACCGCAACTTGCATCCACGGACATACAATGAGCTGTCTAGGTAATTATTGTGTGGTAAAGGCTTTTCGTGTTGGAGGATGAGATGAAGTAATTGCACAGCTACTTGGATCCTGGCAGTTAACAATATAATATACTTTACTTCTCATCAAGCAATGAGAAAACAGAGTTCTAGTATGAGACAAGAAACTGCTACTCTTATCTGACTACAAATATTGTGTAATCAAATAATAAACAAAGCGTCCGTAATTCCATTATGGGTAAATTTTATTTTGATAGAGTCTCACAGTGTTATACAGTAATATTTACTGATGACGTTTCGAGCACAATTTATTGCTCATAATCATATCAAGGTAATCACACGACTTCTTATATCAAAGCGTCCGTATTTGAGTGGTGGAATAATCGTCAACCACCCACGTGCTCCGGATCTGGTTCCCAGCTGACGCAATCTGAAACGTCATTAGGCCAGTATTAAGCCCGGAAAAACGGATGGTTGGGCATAAGGCTTGCAACCCCACCAGTCAAGGAGATAACAACACCACATCAACTGTAACTTCACAACCTAAAACCAACACTCAGAAAGCAAACGAATGTAAACAAAAACAATAAATCAAGTAAAACGAAATTAATTAATGGACTTACCAATTATTTCAATATAAATTTTATCATAAACAAAGTCAAGCCTTGAGGGACTGTATGTTACAGACTTATTAAGGTAGGCAGGTGACTGTGAATTCAATTCCATATATTCCAGTTTGTGATAGTTCGGTGACATTTTTGTCAAGTTCACATTTTTAATAGGATTTGATCTTTCCAAGCATATCCACTGGCCTGCTTCTGCTTCACTTGCCCAGGCTATGAATAATCGACTTTCTAGCAGATGAGAATCCAGCCACCGTAGGGTAATATATACACCACCAGATTTGTATGGATTTGGCAGACGTCGAATTCCACGGTGATACCATTCCAGGGATATGGTTGGATCAAGTTTAGCTTCTGAAGATGGGAAACTAGCACGACATATCAATTCAAGCGGGGTACCGTAAAAAACAAGATTTGGACCAGTCACTGTTATAGCTGATAGAAAGAAGAAGAAAAATAAAAGAACTTTTAAAATTCCAATAGTAATTCATCTCATGTCATTGATTTAAAGAATACCTGGCAAATGGTAACCATATATATATATATATATCTGTATTCATTCCTTAGCATTCTGAATGAAACGTACGGTTTCAAGTTATAAAGCTGCAAATGAACTGGGGTGTTGTATCTACGGGTTGAAGGTGATAGCCTTACGACCTAACTTCCCTATTACTCAGGCTTACTGTCAGCCTGTTTATGAATGCGTTACTCGAGAAGTGAACATCGATTCACGGAAAATACCCATCCAGACACGGATGTGCGTCGGTGGCATAGCGGTTAGGACGCTCGCCGACCATGCACATGGTCCGGGGTTCGGTTCCCGGCCGACGCACTCCTTTACCTTACTAAGCCAGAAATAATGCTGGTGAAGTGGAAAGGTTGGACATGAGGCTAGCAACCCCATCCTGTAAAATAAACACTGCTACAGAAACTTCAAGCCACTAGCTTGAAGCCCCATGTTCCACTCGGGAACGTGAAGGAAAAAAAAGATACGAATGTAAGAACGAAAAAGTTCAGCGAAGAGTCTTTTTTCGGCGAATTCACTCACCTAGCTGTACAATCGCATTTATATATAATATTTTGTGTGTGTGTGTACACTGACACTGTCAAACAAAAAGTAAAATAAAAATTATTTAGGGTTACTGTCTACATTGTAAGAATGTTTCTAAAATGTGGTGAATGATCAAAATTTTAACTAGGAGGGGTGAAGATTGGTAAGTACTGACGACCGTTGCGTAATATGAAATAGGATGTTAATGGAGACACGTGTCCACGAAATAAATTATGCAATAGGTAGAAAGAGCAAATAAATAGTTGGTTAACAAGAAAATGTTACTAAGATGCCATACAAAAATTCGAAAATTTAAACGTTATTAAGAAGTCGTTGAATTTGGAATTGTACGCAAGGTAGAAGGATGAGATGGAGTTTTTTTTCTATGAAGATAAATCAGAGTTTTCTATCAAGATCGCTAAGGCCTCCTCGGCAATGCAAAGTATACGGAAGCCAACCGTTTTCGAGAGGCTTCGTTTGACTTTGTAGATGATTTTGAATGAATTCTCCGTGCATATTTATTGGCGACCAGTGTTGAATACATGTTCAATTATTGCACTCTTTATTGATCCACTGTTACCTTTTCTTAGCCAAGCGGGGTAATGTTCTTTAACTTTTTTGGAAAAACAGGCATCGAACGACCTTCATATCTCACTCCACAAGTAAATTTTGTAGAAACACATAGAAATGGTCAAATGCGACAGTTTATCTTTGAAGTTGTTGGAGAATACCAATTGTAATGTAGCAGCGGAGAATATTTTCTTCAGGGCGTTAGATATTCCTTTTCTTGGAAAGTCAGCCAGAATGTCGCCTTTAAACGTCCCATTCATGTAAAGTATCTTCTTCTGCACAGAGATGGGTTGTTCTTTGTTGAACCGCGTACAATTTGTCATTCTGCCAGTGGTCGACGGGCGCTACATATATATATATATCATTTATGTTACTGACCCCACAAATATCTTCCTTTTTAATCTATGAAGAAGGCACGTAGCTCGGGTGGATATTTTGATGTAGTGCTATACCGGCCTTGAAGATGATATTTTAAAGAATAATGAAACCTTTGTAATTTTTATAAGATTGTTATTTTGCTTGCTCCGTCAAGGAACATAAGGCCTGTGAAGCACATTCCCACCTAACTGTGTCCCACGTAGTCTGTTTTGGACGGCTTGTCGATTACCCAAAAGCTTTCATTACCACCTCACTCGTGGACACACATCCAAATCATTGTTTTTAGGTACGTGTTCACTTGATAGTATGTCTGGGGAGTGGTGTTACTCAATAACTTCTGAGTATCTGCCCAATCCATACCCATTCCCTTCTCCATATTCATTGGACTGCAGGTTCTCAGTTAATTCGTCACCAGAGATCTTTGTTACTCGTTGTTTAAAGATGGTCATTTGATCTTCAGTATCGAGAATATTATCACTCTCCCAATTAAATGTTCACCAATAGACCACCTTTCATAATATACATTTCATTTTACGTGAAACTATTCCCTATTTTGATTGATGTAAAGACCCCGTGGACCTAATTAAACAAACTAATATAATTTACAAAATACCTTCCAATGACTGTGAGTTAGGTCAACTACATAGGTCAAACTAGTAGCTAGGGATAGTCAGATTTCCTGTCAGAACATAAGAATTTAGCTAAGGTTAGAATGATTGATCCCATGAAGATAAGTTATTTGGAAAAGAAGTCAGCAATAGCACTACATGCATTCACACACAACCACACAATAGGGTGGGACAGAGTCAAAATTCTAAAAGGTAATCTATGTAGGTGGAGAGAGAGATTGATTATTGAATCCTGGTTCATCGAGTCTACACACCCAACACATGCAACGGAAATGACTCAATGCAAATAACAGAAATATGGAATATATTGTTACCGCCGGTCAAATCAGAGGAGGGTAATAAATAATCTTAAAATTCTATTTCAATTCACATACATCATAACACTCTAACAATCATATTATTATTTCTGAATGTACATTATCCCATAATGATTTTTATTCAAATGTCTAATCATCAGTTTCACTCATTTATATAAATGAAGTAAAAAGTTTTATGAGTGAGTGACTTGATATGATTATGAGCGGCAATAATTTGTGCTCGAAACGTGTCATCAGTTAATATTACTGTAAAACACACTGTGTAATTAATCAAAATAAAATCTTATCTATAATGGAGTTATACTCTACCACAGTGGCCAAGTTTTATACTTATATCAATGATGTAAACATCCTTGTTTGATGTTATTCGAGAAAAAGTGGCCGGTAGTGGAATTCAGAAGAAAACACTTCGTCCTATTCTCAAACTCATCAATAACGCAGTGAGAGAAGTTCTACTGACTTCACCTTGAGACCACTTCAGCGAATTTTCAAAAACTATATATTACCATAAACAATTGGTTTATATGTAAATTTACATATATAAAAAGTCACACGAAGCTTAGGATTGAGTAGAATTCATATTCAATCGAGTTGGATTGATAGCCTACTCAGTAAATCAATTCCATTATAAACCTCATAATAGCAAAAAATAATAATAATAATAATAAACTCATGCATGCAAACCATGATACATGAATTAACAACAATTACTGCATCTACTCTATAAATAAATCAAGTAAAAGCATAAATTATTCACTAAAATACATTTAATTTAGCAAGAGACAACGCCTAGTGAATACTGTCACTTTTAAGGATGTTGAGACGTATAAAGAGGAAATATGAACAATGATACATATATTTATGTGTATACCAGAAGACTTACGATAAGTCTGAGGTATATTTGTGAAGTTCTATAAGCAGTTTGGATATTATACCACAAGGTTCTTCAGTGGAAAAGAACCCTTATTCATTACAACCCAAGTTCGAATTACATTTTTATTTACGTTAGTCAGTAATGCTAGAGGAGCATTATGTCAGAATCAAGTTAGTAAGTCCTCTATAGTATGGTGAGTACAAAAGAGCGATACGCTTTGAAGGTATTTGTTGGAAATCGAATAAAAGATATCCTATTAAACATCCGCATAATACAGTTTCATCAGTATCTGCACAAACGAATGTTACTAATAAATTGACGAGACACAGTATATATGAGTTTGATTTCTGATCGGCCTACAACGGCATCAATTAGAGTTCAAGTGAGAACTACGAGTTACTAGATACCTGATGTTTTTTAGTTTAACCCTCTTTAGTAATGGTTTGTACATGAGATCAAAAGGAGAACATTCAGACACTACGTCAGGATTATACAGTGCACGATTTCTAAATTCTGCTGATTAGTGACATAGAATTACTGCTAGTTGGCACAGTAGTTGAGTATACCCTTATTTTGATTGGCCACATTGCAAACCTGATTGATAGAAATCAGTCTGCACCAAAGAAAAGACTTGACACATCACACTAGTTACTAGTGTCGAATCAAAGTATCCATTACAGTGCTACAGGAGGTCAGTCGCCAGTCCAAATTTATTTTTTCTTTATTTTTGATTACAGCTTGATTCCATACCGTATATTTTGGTAGAGGTATGAAATTTTCAGCATGTGATATCAGTAGCCCAAATTTTGCAGGCCGACCATAGATATCAGGTGTGCGTCGGCAGGGGATCGAACCCCGGGCCATGTGGATGGTCAGCGAAAGTTGTAACCACTGTGCAACCGACGCTGAGTGGTAACGTCTCTGAAAGCAGTACTCACTGGATCCCGCTGGTTAGAATCTCAGAAGGGATATGAGCTCCTTCAAGGTAGCTGCAGATGCGAATGGCTGACTGAGTGGTGAGTGCTAACTAGAACGAAACCTAGGTAAATTAGGGCTTCCTGTGACCAACTGCCTCCAACCATCTTATATACCCTATTTGGTGGACATTAATTGATGTCATCTTTTCTTATATGTTGACGAATCTAAACATCATAAAGAAACTTGATGATCTGGATTGGACATTAGTAACTAGTGTGACGTGTCTAGGCCTTTCTTTGGTGCAGACTGAATTCTATCAGTCAGGTTTTGCAACGTGGCTACCATTCTGGGTAAGTCGCCATCACGGTGCACATTGATTTGATGATATCAGATAGTTGGCGGTAATCGGCAGGAAGCCTTGGATGAGGTTCAAGGATATGAGTTTCTTCAAGGTTGCAGGAACGCCTTGCTGACTGACTGGTGAATGCCAAATAGAACGAAACCTAGGTCCAAGGCTTCCTGTTGATTGCCTCCAACTATCTAATATCATCAAAACTTGATGATCATATTAAATCCATATAATCTGATTTTAAAAATGATGGGGATGATCTTTCGTACACATGGATGATTTTGTTTTTTTTTCGAATTTTCTAAACTGGTTAGACATTTTGCTTCCCAGGGAAATGAAAGCTTTGAGA